TACATAGAAGTTTCCTGCTTGGCAGCAACCCACAGAAAACTTAAAACAACACTCCATCTAATTAAAGTTAACTTAAATCTATTACTCAGTTAATTAAATAAGGAGACATTCACCCCTAGTAAAAAAATAACTTCTATATAATCTAGAAAAAAGTAAATATGAGCATATTTAACACATTTTAAAGGTGTTAAAATCAGTTCTAAGGGACAGGTTAGCAGCCAACTACCCTCCCTGCTCTACCGTGGGACATCACTGCTGTCCCTGGGTGCCCAGAGCTGGGGCACCAGAGGCTCACACTGCCCTGAAGCCCTCATGTGATTTCATTTATGTAGTTAGGAGCAAGCAGGATCAGCAGTGATACTATTTGTGAAGTCAGGGCAAGTATGAAAAGCTCCCAGGAATGATGCTGCAGAGCTGGGTGGATGCCATGTGCAATGAGAGGTGGCAGGTCCTCAGCCCTGCAACCACACACACTTGAGCCCCTCTGACAAGGGCAAACAAAGGTGTGTTCACATTTCCACTGGCCTAGCTCACACCCAGCACAGCCTGGATTAGGCTGCTCAAACAGTTACAACAGATGCAAGTTTATCCCAATCCCTCCTCTTCACCCCATTCTGGCTGGCATTTTCACACAGCAAGCCACACACCTTGCACCTGATTTTAGTCAGAGCAAACTAACATCAAATCTCTGTGGACTGAGACCTGGGTGTCAAGAACAGAGTAACACATAGGAAAAATAATTGGTAAATGATGAGCAGAAACAGCCTTCTCATTGTTCCTGTGCAGCTCCCCCGGGGCTGTGGCTCTTCTCCACTGCCCAGAGCTCACCCTCCCTGTCAGGGGGTCAGGATGGGAAAGCTCAGGACAGAGCACAAGAGAGGAGCAAGAGTGCTGCTGCACCTCCCTCATCCATCCCCTGAGAATGACATGGGGATGCTCTGCTAGCTCAGTAGCACCAGGACACCATTCCCCTGGGTAACTGTGGGAAGTGCCTCTGCTGTCTGCACTGCCAGAGGAAACCCAGCCTTTCATCCCATGGAGTTATTTCAGCCAAGCATCCAGGTTTGGGAGGACTTGAATTCTATTCCAGCTCTGGCTACGTGCTGCCAATTTAATTTCTGCTGCAATTATTCTCCCACCCACACACTTGATCTATTGTCAATTAGCACTGACAGAGTCCCCAAAGCCCAGAGCCCACATTTCCAGCCCCCCTGGGCCAAAGAGCTGCCAATTCTGGCAGTTTGGGAATGAACAACAAAACAAACATCCTCTCTTTTTATTAGCACTGCATGGCAATATTTTGACTAGCAAGCCCATGCTACAGGAAGCCAATAACAATGGGATCTCCAGAAACTGATGGATGGGTGCCACCACTCCCCCTGTCTGCTGGGGAGGAGTGGCTGGGACCAGTGCCCACAAGGACACCAACACCAGGCCAAGTGAGACTGGGGATCCCAACATGTCAGCAGTGATGTCATGTCTGAGTGATGGAAATCTTGAAAATGGAAAGCTCTGAGCTGTGCCCAGCATCCCTGTAGGTCCCACCTCCACCCATCTCTGGGTCCAACAGACAGGCAGCCCTTCTTTAGGTTGCAAGTCTGAGCATCACTGCATTTGTGGCCTCCTCTGTAGGTCCTTCCTGCTAAGGACAGACTCATCTAGCAAAACCAACTGATAACCAAAGTCTGCTTTTAAAAATAATATTTCCCCAAAGTGACTCACTCATCTTGTTCAGTGCTGTTCCTGCTAATTGTGAAAAAGCAGCTCTCCAGTTCCTGCTTCTACAGTTTGAGGGCAGCTATTTCCCACAGTCATGGCAATAACCAAAGTTTTAGTAAGGAGGATTGATCACATTCTTGGACTCTGAGTAGGGGTTTACCAGAAAGCTCAACTGAGAAACCACAACAGATTTAGAAAAAGGGGAGAGGAAAACTCACCAGCTACTCCACACCTTCCAAGTTCTCTTGCACAGAAGGTAACTACAAATTTCACTGCCTTCAATACAAAGATTACACCTAAAAACCTAAATTGTAATAACAGAAATACAGATTTTCCTACAAATCATTCAGACTAAGGCATTCTGCTTATGCTCACATGTTTCAGGCAAGAGTTACTGTAGTCATAAGTCAAGATTTTCAACAGATCTTTGTCCAGTATGATGAAAAAGCATACAGAGCAAAACCTGGAAGAAGAAAGGATAGGTGCTCCCTATTACCGCAAAGGCTACTTGGGGTAAAAATCTCAAAACCTTTTTCAGGGACAAACCCCCAACCTCTTTTTGTGATTTGAGGGCAGAATTCCAGCAGAAATTTTTCCCTGTGTTTCAAAGCAGATTGCTTTTTTCCAGATGCAAGGAAGTGCACCTAAAGGTTGCACATATTGAGCCAAGTTATTACTTTACAATGAGATTTTTCCTTCTCACAATCTCGTACGTGCCTTTGCCAGAGGGGCTGAATGAACACATCACAGGACAGCCCTGGGTCACCTGGCACTGCTCCACAGGGACCCCAGCCCTGCCTGTGAGCTCTGCTCCCAGGGGATTGGCACCTGCAGCAAAGACTGGCTCTCTTTGGGAGCTGATGGTGACCCTCAGCCTCACACAGGTCAGAGGACATCAGTGATAACACTGATAAGATATGCACAGCTGCTGGCATTTGCTCCAGGCTGCCAGCATGAACCACACTGGAGGCAGTTTAGGGAGAAGAGTCATCCAACACACCTTGGCTGCCAGCACAGCAACCTGGAGGTGTGCATGGAACCACCTTCACCTCCTCTCTGGGAAACCCAAAAAGCCACTAAGGAAGACAACACATGGATATAGGCACAAAAAAAAGAGCAAGATCAGGAATCTGCTGCCTGTACTTGTGTACCCTTGTTCACACACACCTTGGTGCCCTACCACAAACACATCTGCCTACCTACTCCCCAGATTTACATAGTTTCAGTGTAGGTCTGGATATAGAATAGTTCATCCCTATCCCCTTCATTATATCCTATAAAACTGTCTAATTTTTAAAAAGATCCATATGTAACATATATTAATAGTCAGATTCAAATCCAATCTGCATTAAACCTCAGGAAGTTGTATCTGGCAGTGGAACTGCTGCACATTTGTTCCTCATTTAATATTATTCATAGGTAAAGCCTAGTAAGAAAAAATATCTGTCAGAAAAGATGGCTGTAATTGATAAATGAAGCAAACATGGCCAGAATGCAAGGCCCAAGCTCACACATCAGCCAGTGCTGTGAGTCAGGGCAGGAAAGACAAACAGCCCCATGTGCTGCTGGTGTGTGGTACCAGGCAGCTCTGCCATTGCTGCTGGTGTGCTGTGCTTCTGCCTGCTGTCCTGGGCAGAAATGCAGAATATCTGCAAACTCCTCATCGCTGGAATGGCCAACAGACCAAATGGCCTCACACTCTGGTCCATTTCTCATGGGATTTGGGGGATCTCACCCTCATCCTGATCACTCAGTGGGCTCTCTGAGGCCAGGACTTTCTCTCCATTCCTCACTGAAGGAGACTTTGCTCCTTACAGCATCATTCCCTCTCTTCCACCCTTGCAGCTCTTGTAATCCTTCTGAAATGAGCCAAGGTAGGGCTGAGGGGACACCCTGGAGCCCTCATCAGGACATTCTAAAAGCCTCTCTGGAAAGGAGCAGTTGAGCTAAACCAGCAGACCCTGCACACAGGCATTTTGTAAGGGCTGGAGAAAAAGCATGGAAAAGCATATGACATAAACCACCTCTGTGGAGGAGACCGCCATCTGAGCAATATTTGAACACTCAGCATCAGCCAAAGGGAGCTCACATGCTTTGGGAGCAAGCATGGGGGATTCTGTCAGCCTGAACTGACAGACTCTGATGTTCTGAAGGCTGTAGGCAGCCCCAGGGCCTCTGCCCTGCCCTGGGAGGGGCGGCCAACCTACAGCAGTGAGAAGCCTCAGCAGGCTCCAGCCCTGCCATCCATGACCTTGGGTGCCCTGGGAAGGCTGGCAGCATGGGCACCAGCCCAGCACACATTCAAGGGGGAGCCAGACAGCAGGAGCTGCCCTCTGCCCATCTATCCTCCTGGTCTCCTCCTTGTTCCCCAGATATCTCCACAACGTGGACCAGCACATGCAAAAATTGACAATCTGGTACCTTATAAGAAGAGAGGGAGTAGAGAAACCCCATTCCTCTTTCCATCAAGAAGCCAAAGGAGAATGAGAGTCACCTCTGACCTTGCTAACAAGCCATCAGAGATGGGTAGAAAAGATGGGGAGACCTGCTCTGCTCCATCCACCACTTGGCTGCTGCAGGAGACAGGGTGGTAAGGCAGGGCAGGATACAGGTAGAAGGCTCCAGGGAACACAGTTGAGGACAGAGGAAAGAGAGAAGCTGCAAAACAGAGAGAAGGAGTGAGAGAAAAAAACCAAAACAACACAAAAGATGAGAACATTCCAAAAAAAAAAAAAAAAAAAAGAAAAGAAAGCCACCATCACGGGAGGTGTCATGGGATTGGGAGGGCGCAGCAGATGTTGGAAGCAGCCAAGGTAGAGGCACACCAGCTGAGGCAGATGCAGACAGACCCTGGACATGCTGTACCCTGGGAAGGGCAGGCACTGGACAGTCAGAGGACTCCCAAGAGCTCCATCCAAAATAACACTAACTCTGAGCTTGGTCACAGCCTCACAGGGTCAGTGCTGGATGCCACCCCCAAGTGCTGCCCAGCCACCCTGTGTCCCCAGCAGGCTGATCCAGCAAAGCCTGGCCTGGCTGGAAGGCAATGACACAGATGGGATTGTGCCAGATCTGCTCAGGATCTGGATCACCATGGGAACCAGCCCAAGAAAAGCACAGATAGACCTGCAGAGAACTTCAACATCACACATGGAAACTCCTTCACTTCTGGAAGGAGCACAGGCAGAGCACAGGGCTTTCCAGCCTCCAGACATGGATGTCCTCTCCCCCAAAGCAAGCTGGGAGAGCAGCAGAGTGGGGCAGGGCTGCAGCTGCCATACCTGTGGGTCTGGCTCGATGTTGATCCGGTATGCTTGAGCCTTGCCATCTTCCAGGACAGGGGGGGACCAGGTCTTCCCTTCAGATCTGCAGTAGGAAATAAGGTAAACTCTACTTGAACTGCTTTTGAAAAAGCCCAAATCAAAGTGCTCCCCCTCAAACAAACCAAACCCAAAGAAAGAAACCCAAAATCCCAAAGAAAGAAACAGGCTCCTTAAACAAAACAAAAAAGAAATTAAACAAATTTAAAAAAACCAACAAAACAAACAAGCCATAAAAAAGAAAAAGCTAAATATATATATATATATAGCATCTATTAATTCCTTGGCAGGTTTATATTATATTTGCAATTGTGCAAAATTTTCCTCAGAAACATTACAATGATAAATAGAGAAGATGAGTTTCATTCTATTAAAGCTCAAAACCATCCTTGAACTACAAGGTTCTGTCTTAGGTTGAGGTTAAAGAGACAAACTCATTTTGGTTGAAGAAATCAGAACACAGGCTCTTGGTGGCTCCTGTTTTGCACATTCCTGGCTTTGTCCCTTTATTCTGGCCCTGAATCCAGAAAGTATTCTGATTACACATATGTATAGATTATATATATACATATATACATGCAAACCCTGGCAGGCCTGTGTACTAGACCACATCAGGAATTCCATAAACACCTTTCAGGGAGAAGGCTTTCACCACCCTGTATGAATCATCCTGACCCTTTCAACAGTTGCCAGATAGAAAAAGCCCTAAAAATACAGTTTCCATTCCCAAATGCATCTTCAGTCCTGCCAAGGCAGAGCAGAATACTGTCACTGTCCAAAGATTTTCCATGTGCCTGATCATTTTTTCCCCACAAAGGCATCTGGGGACACAGCTGGAATGTGATCTCCAGCACTGAGGGTATGAGGGAGTCCCAGGGGCCTGGGCAAGGTCCAGCAGGTACATCCAGATTTCTTAGGATGCAAGAAGGTTAAGCTGGAAGATGGAAACTCGAGTAAGTTCAAGATAAAGCTTTCAACATGGAAACTGTTCTATTTATCATCACACTCTGTACATGCACCACTTCACAAAAATAGCTGTTGTTCCATGGGCACAGATGCATCCAAGCATCCTTTGTGGACTCTCACCCCTGCCACATACCATGTTTGCTTTCAGTTAAATTATCTGCAGAGTCCAAGTTTGACAAATAAGGAGCATGATTTTAACCCAGGAATTCTCGAGGAGATTTTTACCTTTGGTATTTTGCAGCTACACAAGTCAACATACAAAGCTGCCTTTACAAACCTACCCAAAACCTACCAAATGCAGGGACTCCCACTGACTTGAACACACTTTGGATCCAGCCCCTGAGGATTTCAGCTTTTTTGCCTCACTACTGCTAGTACAGCTTTTTCAACAGGGAGTGATTACTCTCATAGCTAGGTATCTTGTTCTGGTAATTTATCTTTAGTGTTATTATTTGATTTTAGGCTGGGACAATTCACTTATAAATTAGTCTGTCCAACTGGGACAAAGGAAACTGTTCCTCCCAGGAACATCAGCATTCCCAGCAATCCCCACTTGCTGTTTGCCATGATCTGGTGCTGTGTACATTGCTTCCACATTGAAAATCAAATCTGGAGGCCCAGAACAATGGAAATGCCTAATTGCATTGGCAGGGATCACCATTATTATTTCTGTGCTTTCCCCTGCACTGAGCAAGCCTGAGGGGAGCTCACAGTGCCCTGAGGAGGGTCCATGATGACTTCCCCCTCTCAGCTCTGGAGCCCACATCCAAACACAGCTTAAAGCATCCCAAAGACTTCAACCTGTCAGTAAATAAGAACACAGCTTCAGCAAGTGATTCTGATTGCAGAAGATAAGAGCAATAGCAGTAAATTCATTCTGTGTGAAGGTATGGCATTCAGTCACCAGCACTGCCAGCACACCCAGCTCCCCATATCCCTGACAGAGATCACACTGTCTGAGCAGAAAACAAATAAACCTGTGCTTTCCAAAAGGCATGATGGGTATGTTTACACTTACTGACAGACGTGGACAGACTTCAGTTTACATGGAGAAGCCCATTCATGGTTAATGCTTTAATGATTAAACTCAAGGTTTCACTATCAGTTCTGCAGAGTGACAAGAAGTTCTTGGTATAACTGAGACCAACTCTGACAGCTTCCAGCAACAGTGTGAACAAAGCCAGGCTCACATCAGCCCCAGCTTCCACCTGAACTACACTGAAACAAACTGATACAGCACAATCTGGGCTCCACCTGGCACTTTGAAAGGCAAAGCTAAGGTGAATGGGAGAACCATCAGCCTCACCAAAAAGAAAGTCAAGTTGGAAGTTTAATGAGTATTTATGCTTACACAGAGAGACCCCTTCTTTTCCCCGGGAACAGCAAAATACTATGTAATCTGAAATAATCCAAAATAATTAAGAGATTACTCTGCCTGAGAGAACAATGCTACAGAAGCTACTGCAGGAAGGGCTGATGCTTGGAGCTCATACTCCAACCCCAGCTGCCAGGAACATCCATCCCATGCTCACAGTCCCAGCAGGACCAGCAGCAGGGGGGTCCCCTGTACCCCCAGAACAAGCCCCAGAGCAGCGGGGACTTGGGGGCCAGCAGTCACCCTGAGACCCCCCCAGGAGCAGGTTCACCCTACCAACAGTCAGAGCTTTGTGTTTAGGCAACAGCAAAATCCCAACACATTTCTCATACGTCACAGGCAACACATCAGGCATCACTCAAATGTTCCAAGTTGTTTAATTTACAGTTCAAGGACAGGAAAAGTGTTCTCAGATGTGCTATAAGGGATTAAAGGCAGTTATGTGGAAATCATTACCCTGCACTTACACCACTCTGCTCTCTTAATGGCATCCAGGACAATCCCAAGAAAAATAACTTGACCTAGGTTCGTGCAAGGCCTTCCACACAGGGCTTCGTAGGAAATGGACCCATAAACAGGACATCACTAAAAAAACCAAAGTTGCAGACACCTTTTATCCCACCATTTGCTTTCTAAGAGTCTCAGTCATTCTCAAAAGATTACTTGCATATGCTCACATATTTTACCAGAATGTTTTTTCACCTGGTAGTGATCTGCAAGCCTCACTCTCAAGTTTGTCAAGCTGCTTTTAAGTTGCAAGAATTCCTGTGTCTTACCAAATTTCTTATTTCTCCATCCCCTAAAAACTAAAATTTATCACTTGGGGAAGTGCCAACCTGGATGCAGGTCACTGCTGTCACCCTGCAGCCGCAAACCACCGAATAATCACATTGCTATTTTCACCCCCTTTCTTTGGGAGTGACTCCAGGGTCCTGCCCACCTCCTGACTGCTCTTCACCTCCCACTGTGGCACATCTCTGTGCTCACAGCTGATTGTTACCACTGATATGGCCATCAGCCTTCCAGAAGCTGAACTCTGTCTAGAAGCAGCTACAGCTGATGCCTCAAACTTCCCAGGCTTGTGAACCTTCCCCCAATAACTGTGGGGTGTTGGATCCATCCTCTGCAGGGCAGCTGAGCAGCACAGGAGCTGAGCTCTGCTCAGCACCCCAAAGGACACAGCTCCTTCAGTCATTGTGAAGAAGCTGCAGGATTTCTCCTCCTTCATTCCTCTCAGCTGAAACCATTGTGTATTGCTCTGGAAAGCTGCCGGGTTTCCTCTCTAATAGTCTTCAAGGAGCTCCAGAGGGGAAGCTGTGATTCACTTTTTCAGTTGTACATTTACTGGAAACTTGAGAACATACATTGTCATCCTTCCCATCTTCCAGCAGCTTGCCTGTGCTGCTTACAGCTAACAGACCCCAGTAAAATCCCCAGGAACTGGAGGAGATGGGAGGAACATCAACTACGTGAGGTTCCAGGTCCTTTTGGGGCTACATGTCCAGCAGATTCATTACTGGGCTGTCTTACACAGAGACTGTCAGAGAAACTCCTTCTTTTTGCACAGAACAGGAATAGATAATCTTCTTAGTCAATTCTCCAGGCAGACTCAGCAGTGGCATACACACCAAACCAAGGGGGAACAAACTGCTTCCAGGATTTAGTTTCGATAGAAGGAATCAAAGCTGAATCTTTAAGGATTTATTCTTTGACACCAGAGTCAGGAAATAAATTCATCTCAACTACCCTGGGGTTCTGGGCTGCACCTGGGGCCAGGCAGATGCTCCCAGTTGTCCAGCACCCACCTGGCCCTGTGCACAATAGCCCCAGGGCTGTCACCAAACCAAAGGGCTGGAATTGGATTGGACTGGAAATCATAAAAATGTGAAAGTTGAAAAAGCCTCTTAGACCATCAAGCCCCACTGCTACCTGAGCATTGCCAAGCCCACCACTAAACCATGTCCCCAAGTGCCACATGCACATGTCTTTTAAATCCCTCCAGGGATATGAGGTCCTTGGGCTTGAAAACCCTTTCAGAGAAGAAATTTTCCCTAACAGTAAATTGAAGCCTCCCCTGGCACAACACACTAACACACTCCTTGCCTCTTAAGGAATTTGTTGTGTAACTTGGAAGCAACTTCACAGTGAGTAAAAAGAACAAGTTTTATACCAGGTGTTTGTGAGTAATATTTCATGGCGCTGCTCAACACCCCGGATCTTTCTCCAACCAACTGCCACGTAACTGGCCCGACCCTTCCTGCACTAAGGCAGGCAAAGTACAGCTCGTGCTACCTTGGCTTGAGATTCAACATCTGGGAAGATGATGATGGAACAGCTGCCTAATTTATCACCAGAGCAGCCTGAACCATCCTGCTGAATCTTTATCAGCACCATCACTGCCTTCCCCACAGCCTCACTAAGCCCATGTGAACTCCTGGCCTCCCATCCTGGAGCCATTAACCACAGCCTGAACATCCAGCCCGTGTTCCAGGAGTGCCCACACCAAGTAATTCCTCACATCTTACATCAGTGCCCACATAGGCATCAGTTACATAAATCAACTCCTTTCGTAAAGCAATGAGGATTTTCCACTTTGTTTCAGAACAGTAAGGCCACTGTGCTGCTTTGCCTTTCACTGCCCAAAGACAGGCTTTCACATGTTGGGGAAAAGCAGGATCCAAAAGATCCAGGGAAAAAACACCCACTGACTTCAGGGAGGTCAGGGCTCTGGCCAGGAAAGGAGGCAGAAAATGGAAGGCATGAAGAAGGAAGTAAAACCCCCTCAAGGGGGGTTTGATAAAGGACAAAGAGATTTGAAAGAAAATTATCTGCTAGTCCAGCCTGAGAGCAGGGGCAGCTTCACAGACACCAACACTGACTGTGGGCTCCAGGGGCACAGGAGAGCCATGGAGCCCAGCATGCTCAAAAACCTGTGACACCCCCTTGCCAGCAGTTTTCCCAATGTGGGCATAGGGCCAGTTTCTTCAGGAAAGCTGCAGCACAAGCCTTCATCCTCCCTGGCAGATGACAAAAGGCTCAGAAAAAACTGTGGGGCTCGCCCTGGCCCTCTGGCACAGATGGGCAGGTCCGGACAGTGCTGCCAAGGGTTTCCTGGTAGTCTGTGTCAGCAGGAACAGTGATGCCACGAGGTCTCCCATCCCACACCCTAGGTACTTTCAAGCAGTGATTTCAGCAAAACACAGCTCCAACCCCATTTTATGGCTGCCTTTATTTGATGCATGGTACTTGGCCTTGGTCAGGCCACTCAGTAACTCCCCTTTCTTGTTCTCCCCACATTCTGACTTTCCTACTGAAGTTCCTATGTTTTCCTACTGAAGTTCCTATGTCTAAGGGCATTTACTGACCAGAGACTGAAAACAAAACCCATCTTGTTCTTTGGCTCAGTAACACAAAATGTCAAGGGTTGATGGAGAAGGGGCATGGAATGAAGCAGTCCAGAGAGCACCAGGGGGATGGAAGCACTGCACAGCTCCCTGCCCTCCCCTTCCCTCATGCCTGGCTGGAGGAATCCTGCTTTGACAAAACAGCTCCTCACTAAAGACATGCAACAAACAAGCTTCTAATTGCAAATGTATTTCAGACAAACACATTTAAAAATAAATCTTTTGTGTTGGTTTGCAAGCTGTATTTTGTTGAAGGCAGCATACAGAAAAGATGTTGCTTGAAGAGCAACTTCTGCCCAAAGCAAAAGATACTAACCCACACCACCACAGGCAGGGCTTTCTTGAAGCTCAGCCTCAGAGCAGGGTCCAGGGTGTTGATCCACAGCTGTGACAAACTGCAGTGGTTGGACATGCAGACAAACCAACAGAACCCCTCATTATTGCCCCAGGACACGGCTCCCTGAGCAGTACCAGGTCACGCCACGTTCTAGGAGGCAGATCCTGAAGCAGGGATCTACTCACACTAGGAGGGAATGCCAGATGTGCTTCCAGCAATGACTAACAGCTGGGCAACAGGATCCAACAGGTCACTTGGGAGACAGGAGAGAAATCCAAGAACCAAGTCACTGTGCACTCACTTTGGGCCAAACTAAAAATAGACCTAAAGCTCACCACTGGAGCTGCTGTCCCTACTGCAGAAAAAAAACAAACTACTCAGTTTTTCCTGTCAAGAGAAATGCCACTCTTATGGTCACCTCTGGGCAAAGCCAAGGTCAGTTCTGCCCTTGGAGAAGCCACCAAGCAGTGTTACCTCCAAGAGGAGCCACCCCAAGCTGAACAGCTTCTCACTTCACCATCTGTTCCTGCCTTGTAGAACCTATGAGACACAAAAGTCTTTAAAATCTGTGCTTATAAAGACTTTAATGCCTGACAAAACCATTGCAATCCTACTGCTTAGCAAAGGTCAATCATGTCACCCACAAACCCTGCACCACTGAAAGGTTTTGGGCGACCACCAGCAACATCTCTGTTAGAAAATTCACCTCCTCTGGACACACCACAAGGTCTCACTGCTAAAAATATCCACACCTCTCTAGGTGCAGTTGGGAAAAACAACCTGAAGCCACAGATCCTCCACACAGCATCTTCCAGATCACCCTGAGGTCATGAATGAGCATGGAAAGGGAAAGCAAGCAGACAGATCATCCCTAACCCCAGCAAGGCACACACCAACAGTGCTGTGACCGCTGTGACCACTGTGACCACAACCTCTGCCCTGTGCAGGAATCACCACCTAGGAGAGGAGATGCACCCACACAGAGATATTCAAGGGTCCAGTCTGAGCCAAAAAAACAAACACCAGTTGATATCAGGGGTTAAAATGCAAAGGTGGGAATTCAGTCCATCAATCCACACAGCAGAAACCCTCATCCGTGAGAATAAACACTGCCACAATGCAGGTGAAAGCTGCTTTCAGGAAAACATGGTTCTAACTCCCAGTGAAGCTGCTCTGCTGCCAGACCACTCCAGCAGCTGGTGGCTCACCAGAACCTCCTGTTCTGGATTTTCACCTCTTCCAAGGAGAGCTCCAGCAGCCTGCAGGCAGTCAGGAAGGAAACCCTGGTCCTGCCCTGGGCACAGGTCCTCCTGGGGGTAGAAAAATCACATAGTCTCCCTAAAGCTGCTCCAGATGGAAAGCAGAACCATGCCCTCCTTGGCTATGGGAAACTCCACCTGTCTGAAGGGGTTTTGCTTGCTTTTCTTATCTTCTTTCTTTTGTAATACTGAAGCCACATCATCCGTACACCATGGGCTAAGCTCAGGGGACTCTGCTTCAGCCAGGCAGCTCAGAGATGCCTGTCTGAAGAACCATGAGGAATCCCTAAGGGTTTGCTCCATTTATGGCAGCGCTCCTTCCCCACTGCCCAGGCATCCAGTCAGAGCTACATGGTTTTCCAAGAAAAGTATAAACAGTAAATGATAGCTCTTTATATCAGGAAATGCCTCTTTAATCTGAAGTGGAAAACTATATTCACTTATTTTAACTTATGCCAGATACTATTAGCCATTTGTGAACCTTATAAGGAGTGCTCATTTTGCTTGGGTGATTTGTGATTTTGCTATAAAATTAATTCCAATAGAAATCCAAAAAGAGACCAAGAAAATGAAACCAAACAAACAAACAAAAAAACCCCTAAAACACCCCAACTATAAAAACAAACAAAACACAAACAAAACATCCCAACTATAAAAAAAAAAAAAAAAAACCAAAAACCCAACACCAAACTCATGCCTTCATTTTGCTTTGAAATACCCTTAAAAGCGAATCTGGCAGGACCTTCAAATGTCTTTTTATTGAACAGATGCTTATAATGATGGGTGGCTGTTAATGAAGCAGAAGGGTTTGTCCAAAAGACATTTTGATTCCCACGCTACTCTTGCTTGAGTTGACACAACCACAAAGACTCAACTCAGGCCACAGCCTGAACAAGCCTTACAAGGTACAAGTGATAATCCACATGTAAAAATGAACTGAACCCACTTTTTCTATCAGTGAACCATTAAAAATCATTTTGTTTTACTGTTTTTGAAAACACAGAACAATTACCCAGGCCATGGGGATGCCCCAAGAACCCAGCCTGAGAGTTCTTCTGCTCCAGGGCCAGCCAAAAGCCCTCTGAGCAAAACTGACATAGGAGCACATCAGAGAGAACCAACCTGTTCACAGAGAGCAGCAGCTGGTCCACACAGGCTTTGATCTTGTTTTGAGCTTCTAGATGTGTCATGTTGTCTGTGTTCTCTCCGTTAATTGCCAGAATAATGTCTCCTGGGCACAGGTCTGCCATGGCTGCTTTACTGCCAGGGTTAATCTGGGGGAAAAAAAGAGAAAGGGTTACTTAAAAGAATGCTGGGTTTTTTTTAAAAGAAGTCCAGTTTCTTGGAGTAAGATGCAGGTAAAGGGAAAGATATTTCTAGAGATTATGTGTTTTCTCTTCACGAACAGCACCTATCTGGGGTTGGATGTCAGAGCTCTCAGGTCTCCAAGGGCCATGCCCTACAACAACTCTCTTTGAAATAAGGAATTTCAGTCAACGCCAGCCACTCTGTGACCAGGTACCCTCTTCACATCTGTCTCCTGCTTGAAATAAATGCAGTGTGCTCTTTCCAGAGAGATGCTTCACACTCCTTTGGCTTGCAGGCCTTTCATGATGCTGCAAGAGTCTGTCCCTAGGCAGCACATGAAACCCTCCTCTGGTTAACCACCATCCCCTGGCTGGGGGAGAGGTCACGTTTGACATCACTTCTTCTGCACTGACATCCAAATGACTTGTCTCTTTCTAGCCCTGCATGGTCACCAGCCCCAGAGGGATTTAGCAGATATGGCACTTGGGAACATGGTTTAATGGTAGCCTTGGCAGTGGTGAGGTAACAGCTGGAACTGAGGATCTTTAAGATCATTTCCATCCTAAATGATTCCATGATTTTGTTCTATAAATATCACACAGCTCTTTAAGCCTCCACAATTCTTTCCTTCTGGTTTTGTCAGAGTGCCAGAACCTTATAAAACTTCTAACTTCTTTCCTGAGGAACTAATGACAGGTCCAGGTACAGTTTGTGGTCAGCAACGAGACCAATCCTATTGCCCATAAAAGAGGTTCTTGAGAAATTACCATTTCATTTACATCATTCTAAATGTGGTTTTAATTTTACAGTAATAGAGAATGACGCAAGGCATATTCAGAACAGGTAAACATGTCTGGTTAAACTCTATGCTATGTGCTTTCCCTCTAATTTCCTCTTCAGTTTATTCACAGCATCTGCTAACCAAACACATTTTATCAACTGAGAAGTTATGGCATGCCTGACTTTTGGTTCTTCATGTGTCACTGCACTAAAGCAAGCTGGTGCTTTGGTTCTGTTTACTCTTGATTTACACAAATGGAATTCCCTGTCTTAGGTGCTGGGTCTCTGCCCCACCCTGCTTGAGAAACCCAGACAACAGGAGCACTGCTGTACCCACCACCTGCCCTTGGCTTGCAGCAGTGCATGGCAGCAACCATGCAGACCAGGTGTAGTTATTCAGGCAGTAAGACCAAGTGGGGCAGTTCCCCAGTGCTCAGAAGCCCCCAACCACAGCTCATCATTAAAAAGATGTTGTTTTTAGAAAGGGGGCATGCATATGTACATCCCAGTTTTCATCTTGATTTCATACAACCCTACAATGGCTTGCAGGATTAAAGATCACCTTGTTCCAACACAGAGCACATTCCACCCAGGTTGCTCCAAGCCCCATCCAGCCTGGCTTTCAACATTTCTAGGGACAATTTGTTCTGTTTTTGTAGGGAATTAGAAGAGGATTTAGTCTTACCACAACAGCCCCAGTATAACACTGCACTGCTCCCTGCAAGAGCACAGCTCCTGCACCACAGAAACACAAACCTGAAGGTGTTTGACAAGCTCCAAACCACTTCTGACAGTTAAGCAGAACTGGCAGCCCAAGTTACAGCTTTTGTTGCATTGTCAGAGTAAATCAGTATTTGCCATTTGCCCTTCATTAGTTTCAGCTGGGCTGTTTGGCTCCACCAAACCCGCCCAGACCAACTGCTCGGGGGCTGCCCTGTGACTCAGCTCAGAGCAAACAACAGGAGATGGCTCTCAGCTCCACACACATTAGCTCTGACATAGGACATTTCAAACCAGGACAGGATTATTTTTCCCCTAGCATTGTTAGGGGATTTTTGACCCCTGTATCCATTCACAGGGCATTAGGGTCCTTTTACAGCCACAGAAGCTGCCAGGCTCACCAGAAAGGCAACCTAAAGCTCAACCAGCACCTCCAAGGAAGCACCTCCATGCTCTTGCCTGCTGTTATCTGCTTCCCCCAGTGCTCATCCCTGGCTGCCAGCAGGCTTTTAGACTAACAGACCTTCAGCTTGACCCAGGACAGCTGTATTTTGTTCTTGTCTATTCAGTGCTGTCTAGATGTCTGATGGATTTTTCCCCCTGTACTGATCTTAACCACGTTGTAGCTTCCTTGAAGAATAAGCTGTTCAGAAATGGGACTTTTAGCTGTTTCCTAATTTAAGCTTCTGCTTTATTTCAAATTGTTTTGGCAGTATTTTCATATTAGCATTTTATGTTTGCTGTGGAGATGACTGAGGGCTTGAAATGGAGCTGCACTCCAAGAATTCATCTGAGATACAGCATCAGTGACTAAACAGCTTGGGAATCATTACTGTAATGTCTGTCAGGCCCAAAGTTTGTATTTTAGTGAATAATATTTAAAATACTGCAGACTAAGTTCTCCTGACCCACAGCTGTGCAAAGCCATTGAGACCAAACACTGCACAGAAAGCCTGACAGGTCTGGTTATGGGTCAGTGCTGTGCCTGAATCCAAGTGCAGAGGTTCTACCTGTTTTGGACATGGCTTAGTGGTGACCTCAGCAGTCCTGGGTTAACAGCTGGACTCGATATCCTAAAAATCTTGTCCCACAAAGGACTCTGTGATTGTATGACATTGGAGCCTGGCAGTGCACAGAGGTGTTGGGATGGAGCTTGGATCAGAGGCATCATTTGTGCCTCTCTCCAGAGAGCCCTCAGGTCTGCCCTGAGCCAGAACCACAGAGTGTGTGACTTCAAGGAAGCACACACGAATCTGAGAGTAATCAGACAGGTTATGAAGCTAAAAACAGTGCAAGGAAAACCTGCACCAAGTCACTGCAGCCCTGTGCTCTTGAAAGGACAACATAAATCCAAAGCCACCTGCAGCAGACTTGGGGTGAAGCTGCCCAACACAGACACGCCAGTGCTGCAGAAAGGGGAGAACACCATCTCTCTGTATCTTCCTGCCCCAGGAGTACCATCCAACCCCTGCCTGTGTGCCATCCCTGGTGCTCAGCAGTTCTGAGGCACAGCCTGGGATGCAATCCAGAAGAGCTGAATGCTTTACAGAACCACAGAATGGTTTGGAGTAGAAGGGACTCTAAAGATCATCTTGCTCCAACACCCTGCCATGGGCAGGGACACCTTCCACTATCCCAGGCTGCTCCAAGCCCCATCCCACCTGGTCTTGAACACTTCCAGGGATGGAGCAACCAGAGCTTTTCCAGGCAACCTATGCCAATGCCTCACCATGCTCACAGAAATAATTTCTTCCTCATATCTAATCTAAATCTTTCTTACTTCAGCTTAAGGCCATATCCCCAAGTTTTCTGTGAGTGAATCAAAGCAACTCAGAGGACAGGTCAAGTGCAGTGACCTGTCACCAGGGACCACGGCAGGGCTGGGGGGAGATCCTCATGGGATGGTTAAGCAGATCCCAGTGCTACCCACCACCTTAGCACTGCTCCATTTTCAGCAGGAAGGAACCAAGCATGAAATATGTGCAGAAGCAGTTCATGTGCTGGGAGGTCACTGGCACCAGTGCTTTCCCAGCTCCTTTTATGCCCAAAGAAGCTCTGGGGTGTTCTCAGCCGTGCACGCACAGCACGGCCACCGCTCTGAGAATGCAGCGTGCACGCCTGCCAGCTTCACTGCTCTCCCAAAATTAAATAAAGAACAACCCTCTGAGTTTAACCCCTCCACATAAACAAGCAGCTGCTTCCTCGCTTCTCGCTCTCAAAAAATGAAGATGCTTCAGAAAGCTTATAAACAGACAAGACTAAAGAAACAAACCACTTGGCCAGCAATGCTATGGTAGAGCAGAGCACAAGGGGGGGTTTGCAGAGCATTTGCCCCAGGTAAGCAGCTCCAGGCTCTCCAGATCCCAGAGAGCAGCCCCTCCTCACACAGCATGCCTGTGGAGGGTGTGTCCTGCAGGGATTTGTTCCCCTAGGGAGCCAGAACTTTTCCCCTCTTTTCTAATAAAAATATTATTCTCCCTAATCCCCTTGGGATATGTCTCATTTGTGACATCTTTCCATGTCCTCCACATAGCATTGTGCTTCAAAAAATACCAGAGGTCCAATACTGGTGCCTGTCTCCACCCCCTCTATTGTTCCAGGAAGAAAAAGACAAATTTAAAGAAAGAGCTCCCAGAGGACAGCCCTTCTTTCACTGCCCTCTACCTCTTCAGCCACCACAGAAGGTTCAGTGACAGCACTGCAAGCATCACCTCCACACCATGTCTTTTGCCAAATCATCCACCAGAGAACTCTATCTCATTTTTAAAAATTGGCTGTGTTTATTAGGTTTTTTCAACCATACTCCTCACTGCTTTTTCCAGGATTATCACGACGTCTCCTCTCAGGCAGTTACCCTCCAGCAGCCGCTTCCCCAGCCAACAGCAAACTCTGATGCTATGAAACAGATTGGGATAGTCCCAAAGGCAGCAGCAGCTCTCTTATCTGACCACTGGAGCATCACCAGGATTTACTGAGTGCTGGCATCTGACAATGACAGGACATTAAAATAAGTACATTGGGGCAACTGCCTTGTGCTTAACCTAAATTGGTTGGTGTTGGAGCCATGCAGTCTAATTTAGCAAGCAAGATTATTTGCACCAAGAGAAGTTTGCTCTTGAAACACAGTGTTCTACCATGTGCCCTGGAGCTTGGCCACAGAAGGGAGCCAGGGCTGGGAGAGCATTCAAACCAGGGTGAAATCTCCATGCCTGCCCCCCTGCACTCACAAGGATGGGAGCCCTGCCCACCACAAGGATGACTCTACTCAGAAACAGCTTTGCTCAAGCCAACTTCAGAACTGGGCAAACACCACAAGCTGAACCAACCAATAGTTTAGTAAAAGTTTAAATTGTAATATTAACTTAATCCCTTTTTATTTCTACTTTTTTCCCCAGAAACCTGCATCTAAGGTCACCTGTGTAGGACTGAAGGATGAGGGATGCAGCTCCTCACTGCCTGCAAGGCC